AACTAAAATTACATTCTAGGTTGTATGATTGCCAGGGAAATGTTCTCTGATATTCATAAAAACTAGACTCAAGGGAACTATCACTTTTTTTGATTGTTTCAATTAATAAAATATCACAAGGTGAGTAATTTTAGACATAAAAACTATAAACCATCTTGATACATATAGTAAAATTATCCAACATTATTATCAGAAAATTTTTAATTGAATTCAAATTACTCTCCTTTGCTGGCTATTTTATCACTATCTAAATAATTATGTCCCTCAAAATGAGTCCACTATTAAACAATTTTATCAATGATGGATGTCATTCAAGGCTAAAGACTGAACATCACTAGCAAATCTAGATAACTGTTTCTTAATTCAATTATAGTTCCAGCACTAGGCCATCATTTATCAAAGTGTATTTCATGGAAAATGAGAAAACCAAAACATGTTCTATGAATAAAAGATACTAAAGGCAAATACATCTGGGAAAAGCCACATAAAATAAATGAATATATAAACTAATATAAGTAATAAATATTAAAAAGTTAGTAATTGTGAAATACATTTTGGAGAATACTACCCTAATCTAACTTACAGTCCAACCTTACTAAGTAAATAACATATCCAGATTTATATTTACTACTGGAGGCCCGGTGCATGAAAATTCATAACCGGAGGGGGTTCCCTCAGCCCAGCCTGCCCCCTCTCACCGTCCAGGAGCCCTCAGGGGCAGAAAGTGACCCAGTGATCAGGGGAAGGTGACACCCCGTGACACCTCTGCTGAGGTCACTGCTGGCAGCACAAGCCTCGGCTAGCCCTGGTTACCTGAGCCTCAGGAGGCCCTGGGCTGCTGGGCAGCCACCATCTGAGGCTTGCCCACGCCTTAGGCATTAGCTGGGCAGCCAACATCCAAGGCACAGGCAAGCCTCGGGCCAACCCTGGGCAGCTGGACAGCCTCTATCTGAGGCTTTCCTGTGCCTCGAGCCAGCCTTGGGTGGCTGGGGGGCTGAGGCGACTGGGAGACTCTGGAGGCAGACGCGCAGAGTGGCCAGACCCGCCTGGGGGTGGACCCGGCTGTGCCCCTGGCTTGCCATTCCAGCAGGGCTGAGGGGACTGGACGCTGCCATCATTAAGGTGTGGCAGTCAGTTAGCATATTCCCATTGGCTGTGGGTGCCGCCATCTTTGGGAGGGTGTGATGGTCAATTAGCATATTACCTCTTTATTAGATAGGATAATCATATGTGTATAGCACATCTCAAGGTACTTCATTTCAATTATTATCTCTATGTATAGATAACAATGCTGAGGTTCAGAAATGTTAAGTGACTTCCAAAAGACACAGAATCAGAAACTATGGAATCAGGGCTAGACCATAAGTCTACTAGCTTCAAAACTCTATGTCAGGCTGGTGTAACATTATGGCTTCTAAATAGAGTTCAGAACATCGTAAGGTAATCTTAATATTGAATATAATACTGGTAGTAGTCTTAAAGTACAATCAGTTACTGGCTATCAAGGTAATGCTTATAAATGTTTTATAAGAATAAGATATTTAACCATTGAATGGGTTTAAACATGAAAAAACCCAAATTGGACAAAATTTTAAAAATCTAGTACATTTAAAGTAACTTACCATCATGGCCTGCTTGAAAGTAAGAGCAAGAGACCAAAAAACTTTAATTACTAAGGAAAACCCATAAATTTAAAAATAATAATGAGAAAAAAACCCTAAATTTTGATCCATCAAATCAGATAGTATTCAGTATACTAAAAATTATGCACAACAAATTGGTATAGATATAATATGTAATACCTTACAATATAAAATTTTATTTTTACTTTAATGTATATAAATGCACTTAGTTTTGCCACTAAACTCAGCCATCAACACAATTTACCTTTAGTAGGTTACCCACCAATACCAGCCAACATCCTGGGCCTTGGATGCTGGCTGCCCAATAATTGGTATTTCCAACAGGTAGTTGTAAATACCAATTATTTCCAACTACCTGTTGGAAATAATTTGTATTTTATAAATAAAGAACACTTCTGATCACCTACATTTTTAGACTGCTCTACTTTTAGACACCTGTCACAGAAAAAATTTTCTTTAGATTTTTTTTCTAATACTGAAAAACAGTAAACCACATATTATTTGTCGTTTGTTTAAAAATGATTTTAGCTTGTAATCCTCTTATGTGAAGAGACTACAAACTCCGTATAAACTTTATGCTACTTCTAAAAGTTGGCTTTCAAGTAAATACATTTTTAGTATAAAATGGAATCAAGATTAAGTAGAAAAATCACCATCTGGCAAACATCACAGTAATAATTCAGCCAAGAAATATCATCAGATGCTAAAATCAGAGGATAAAGTGTGATGAGAAGCAGTATGGTTATAGTCTCCAAGTACTCTTTCAAATCAGAGTACTAATTGATTACAAATACAAATAAAAGACACTATTAATTTCAAAAGGACAAAGAATAATGTTATAGCAGACAGAAACTTAATGAAGAGATCACACCAGTAGAGACAAATCAAACACAGTTCCACTTGAAAGGATTCAAAAAGAACACATCAATCCTTCTGGGGTAGTCCTACTGAAAATGTACTACCTGAATCCAATCATGAAGAAACATTAAAAAAAGAAAATGAGGTATATTCTATATAAATAACTTAACTAGATAATATTCAAAATTTATAAATTACTAAAGTCAAGAAAAGGCTCAAAAACGGTTCCAGATTGAAGAAGACCAAAGAAACATGACAACTAAATCTAATTTACTTATAGATCCGTTTGATAAAAGGCAAACCTTGGTGATAAAAGAAACTGTACTTGTGTAAGAAATATATATTGGAACTAGAGGCAGGAATGTCGTACACTGAGGGATTAAGAGTTCCTCAGCCCGGCCTGTGCCCTCTCGCACTCCAGGAACCCTCGGGGGATGGCCCCCTGCTGGCTTACAGGAGCGGGCCTAAGCCAGCAGGCAAACATTCCCTGGGGGTCCTTAGAGCTGCCTCAGAGGCGGAAAAGACTCCCGCCACTGCCCCTGCGCTTGTCAGCCATGAGCTCAGCTTCTGGCTCAGCGGTGCTCCCCCTGTTGGAGCACACTGTCCACCAGGCGGTAGCTCCTGCATTGAGCGTTTGCCCCCTGGTGGTCAGTGCACGTCATAGCAAGCAGTCATTCCGGGGTTCGGTCGATTTGCATATTAGCCTTTTGTTATATAGGATTATATAGGAAACTTGGGGACAAATGGGCAGTAATTTAACAACTTCCTCTCAAATGGCTCAAAAAATGTGTTTGTACTATTTTTACCAAACTCAAAAACTAATATTATTTTTACTATTTTCAATATTAGTTCCATTTTCCTCTGGATCAGACAGGTTTCTAAAATAATCATCTACTTTTGGGTTGGTGTGGGGTTTTTTTTTGTGTGTGTGTGTGTGTGTGTGTGTGTTTTGAGACCTCAGTTCTAGTGAGTTTGGAAGAGCCCAAGATATATGAGAATTCTCCGAAGTACTACCAAGATTAGTGACGAGGCACTAACAGAAGGAAGAAAGAAATATATTAAGGAAATATGGAACCTATTACCATTCAGACTATCCTCTGGATAATGTACAAACAGATCTGTAACAAATTTAAAATGTGTGCTTTTCCAGAAAGATGCCTGCTACCACAAAGCAGTGGTAAAGTATATCACAATATGTAGTTTCAACAATTGTTACTTTTACCAGAAAATAGAGAAGTCTGCCATAGTTAGATAAAATGTTTTAAATATTACTGTTTCTTTAATTTCTACATTGTAATATTTCAGAATGTACCAATTTTTTAAAAAAGTAAGTATTCCTATTTTAAAGCAAGCAATTAAATATTGGCAATATCTAGTAGTATATTCTTTAATATACTACCATTTTTAAAAACCATTTCTTTAATATGATTTCCCTGAATTTGCTGGGTAAGAATTTCTTAAGATGGAGTTAAAGAATGCAGAATAATAAAGACATACAAATTCCTGGGCTCCACCCAAAACTCAAAGAAGGCCCTCATAATCTGTTTTAATAAACCCTCCAATAAAATCTACTTTTAGGTTTTGTAAATACTACTTGTGCAGAAAAGAGTTAATATAGTAGGCCTGAGTCTGCTATCTCTAGCTGTGAGGGCTTGCAAGGTTAGCTCTTCGTTGATATCTGGTCACTAAGCTTTTGAGTCAGCTCTTAACCACCTCCCAGACTGAAGAGTGGGACACTGTGCCTGAGTTGTCTGTACAAATAATGTAATAGTTTATGATGAATCCCTGATTTCCTTGTGAGAGTCCGAAATTTTGATATGTGCTAAAGCAGAAGGTGCTTATGAACTGACTCCAATAAAAACTCTGGGCAACTGAACGCTGAAGCCCCACGGTAGAAAGCATTTCAAATGTGTGATAATAACTCTTTGCTAGGGGAATAAACCATGTTGTGTATGACCCCACTAGACTTCAGATTTCACCCCATGTGCCTTTTCTGTTTATTTATTTTGCTTTGCATCATTTTGCTGAGTCTTGTCAGTTTTCCCAGTGAATCATCAAACTTGGGGTAATCTTCAGGTACGTCTACACTACTTTAATGTATAAAATTCCTTCTGCAATGTTCCAAGTATTTCAAAAACTATTACATATACATTAACAACTTGTAAATTGATTACTTAAAGATGACAAAAGCTTAAAAGGTCTATATAATTCACAAAATTATTTACTTTTTGAACTATTATTAAAACAATATTCAAAAGATAATTTAACATTCATTTTCTCAAAATTCAAATTAGCTATTTTGACCTTAAATATAGTTAATTTGAGATTTTAGTACATGGTTGCTTTATATTTTTCTGTATGTTTAATTATTTCTAATTCACTCAAATTAGACCCATCCTTTTCCTCATAAAGAAACAGAAAAACAAATTCAAATGCATACACAAAACAGTTTATTGTCCATCACAATTTAGGTAGTGTTTAAAAGTGATACATTCTTACCGTGTGGAGTGATTGTCTGTACAGGTTTAGCAGGAGACCTCACATTCCATATAGTCAAGGTGCCATCAGAATGACTACAAATAAATTGTTTTCCTTCATGATGCCAAGCCACTGAGTGGATAGCCTATAGAAAAGGGGTGAAAATTCCATTAAAAAAATACTTAAACACCTAGCTACTCATAATTGGTATTATAATTAATTTTTGAATCTCAGAGAGAACAAAGAGGTGGGTGGGTGGGTGGGTGGGAAGAGATAAGCTAAAGAACTTTAGTCAATGGGGATCAATGGGGGATTACATATGTAATACTTGTAACAATAAAAACTTTAAAAAACAAATATAGAAACAAAAATAATTTTTTTTTTATATTTCCAAAACTGAAGACAATGTTAACTTTACATTCCCATAGTAATTTAATCTTCTAGCAATACAAATGAGAATTTAGCATTGACACTATTTTGACTCTTTTTACTTTATTTACTCCTTAAACCAGCATAAGGAAGCTATAATAGTATATGTATGTATGTATGTGTGTGTATGTGTGTGTGTGTGTGTGTGTGTGTGTGTGTGTGTATGTATGTATATATATATATATATATATATATATACATATATATATATATGTAATTCTAAGTTCAGAAAAACAAAATGTATTTTTATACTTAGAAAAAACTATACCTAAACAAATTATCAAGTAAATAATTACAACCAATATTTCATGGGCTAACTACTTGCATTGATACAAAACAAATTTTTTAAATTAACTAAAATTTAAAAAATATATAGTATTTTATGTAAGTACACACACACACACACCATACCACACCACACACAAGTATATGTATACAAGAAATGCCACATAAATTATTTATATATATAAAAGCTAAGCGACCGAACGACTGGTCACTATGACTTGCATTGTGGTGGCCAACCAGTCTGACAAGGGCCTGGATTGTCCCCACCAACCTCCCACGCCCAATCCCCCTGGCCATCCTAGCCCCCAATCCCGATCAGGGGCAGGGCCGATCAACCTCCCATGTCCCCCCACCTCCCAGTCAGCCTGTCCCGGATCAGCTTTTCCATCCCAATCCGGGGTTGGCCGGCCAGATCCCACCCATGTATGAATTTGTACACTGGGCTCTAGTTTATGTATAAATCATACAATTATACCTTTTCATTAGTGTTCTTAGGAAAATTAGGTAGTGATCTATGTTAACAAAGTAGAAACAACAAATCTCGTTAACCAAATCTGTCACATGCTCAGAATTAAAAGATTAATTTGGAGCAAATCTGAATAATTCATTGGAGAAGTTATGAGATATAAAGTAGAAAGGATTATGTGACATTTCCTTTCTATGTGACATTTAGGAATTTTGTGTGTAAGTTGTTGTTGTTTTTTTGTTTGTTTGTTTTTTCTCCAAGAGAATATAAAATTTCCAGGAGATTCTAAGCAGGTAACTTGTTTTTGAAAAGATAAAATAGAAAACTAGAGATAGAGATGATTAAGAGCAATGGATAAGGAAAGATCTCAAGCACAGAATAAATGGAAAGGAGAAGAACAAATAAATGAGAGATGTACAAAAGTTGTTGGAAAAGATTAATTCAGGGTAGAGGGCAAAAAAATGGAGAGAAGGAGGTAAGATGATATAGCTATTGGAATAAGCCACAAAGGAGCAGTATATAAAATTCCAAAAGTTCTTTAAAAGATGTACTAACAAAGAAAAAAATCTTAACTATAAAAAAAATCTCATGAAGCAGTTAATAAATATTAAGAACCTCAGTATTTTTATCTCTGATAATATTTTTTAAAAAGAACTATCTACTCTAAAACATTCTTTAAAAAGTAACATCTAATTATTATGCTTGATAAAAGTAGTACATATTATGATTTCTCCTATTCGTATAAAATTAAGAGGGCATCTTGAAAAATAATATTCTAGAAAGAGAACTGGCTATTTATCAAATTTTATACTCACTAATTCAAAATAAAGGCAAAATTAAATAAATTCCCTACTGTTGGTTTTGAAAAGTAATCAGTACTATTAGAATCACTTAACACTAAAAGTTTTATCTATCGTGGTATAGCTGATCTTACATTATACATATACTGATTAACGTTTTTAGTACACTTACACAAAAAAAACAATTTCTGTTCTCCAAGAAAACAAAATTTGTTCAATATTCAAGTCAAATGCAATGTTGGTTCCTAGTGTTAATTATATACTAAAACCCTTAGAAAAATATGAACAAAATGACAAAAAGAATTTTATTATGTAGACTTTGATTTCAATATTGAAAAACTCTAGTTTTGTTTATTATTCTCATGTAATTAAATAAGGTAAATGCTTAGAGCACTGAATGAATTATTTCTTGAATCTCTGAATAATCCATTAAATTGTATAGTTTTGGCCCTAATATCTTAACTTTTAAACATTTCAATATTACTTCCACTACAGATGGCAGACAACAGTAATACTGCATAATTGAATAAGACAGTACATTTTGTAAGATAGTTGATAAAATTATTACATATTGAACATTAAGTGATTTACAGTTTTTTCTCTCTTATATTAAGATTTAAACAAGCATGAATTACCACTCTGCAGTAATATATCTAGATTCTAGACCTTGAATGTCAGTGACTTCTAATATCACACAAACTAACATTCCACTGGATAGAACAGTAACAGCATTATCTATTAAGTAATCTTGCTAAACGTGAAAAATGAACCTGAATTTAATCAAGTCTCAGTAAACTATCCAATTTATAGGATATATGAGGGTTAAAAAAAGGTTAAACATAATTGAATGCAGCCAGAAAAATCCTTCTTTGGAAGACTATCTTCAACAAATAAATGGGGGGGGGGGGGGAGGGGGGAGGAGAAGAAGAAATGAGGTAAGAAAGTGAAATAAGAGAAGAGTCACATCAGCCTGTGGACTGAAGGGTCCCAGGTCTGATTCCAGTCAAGGGCACATGCCTGGGTGCAGGCTCCATCCCCAGTGGGGGGCATGAAGGAGGCAGCAATCAATGATTCTCTCACATCATTGATGTTTCTAACTCTCTCTCTCCCTCTCCCTTCATCTCTGAAATCAATAAAAATACATTAAAAGAGAGAGAGAAGAGGTCTACAGTTTAAAAGAGACTTAAAAGGTGTATCAATCAATCACAATCAATTTATATTTGAGTTTTAAAATAAGCAACAATAAATGTCTACAGCAAGTATTTCAAACAGCCCAACCAATATAACAGTATGTAAAAATTATTTTAATAAAAATTTCATAACTTAATTTTTATAATATACTGTTATACATTATCTACAGTACACACACACACACACACACACACACACACACACACACACCGTATTTTCCGGTGTATAAGACGAAAGCTAAACTGTGTTCTAGTAAAAAGCCTGCTCAGATTGGCCAGAGTCAGAGAGGCGGTCTATTAAAAAAAGAACTGGTGTTGCCTCGGAAGTGGGGGGTAGTCTTATACAGCGAATATAGGCCTAAACCTATGGTCTTAACTGTAAAATTAGGGGGTCGTCTTATACACCCGGTCGTCTTATACACCGGAAAATATGGCAGACTCTCAACACAGGAGCTGCTGAACTGCTGTGAATTGGTAGCTGCAGTTCTTGGGTGATGCACCCAGAACCAGGGAGGAGGATTCTGGGGTGTGTTGCCGCAGAACTGCCCTCTCGCAATCTGGGACCCCTCAGGGGATGTTGGAGAACTGGTTTTGGCCAAATTCCCATAGGCCAGGCAGAGGAATCCCACTAGTGCTCAAATCCATGCACCAAGCCTGTAGTTATTAACAAACTACAAAGTTCACTAATGACTGATTACTATAATCATGTTGCACTCATTTCCCTTATGCATCTTACACGCAGGCACACCATTTCTCTCCACTAATACTAGCAGCGAATATTTCAGCAGCTGATTGCCAAATCATTAGTCTTGTACTGACTTGTTTGGTGTGCGCAACAGGAAATACTTTGCTGAGAACAAGAAAAATAGGTTTATTTGCGTTACCCTTATTAATTTGTGCAGTTACTCACTGTCTGGTAAATTAATGTTCAAGAAAAAAATATTAATTTTTATTAAAATGTTCTATTATTTTATGTTAATGATTACTCATTTATTTCAGCCCTGTGTATTCAGCATGTCTCTCAAAATAAACGTAAGTTTCTGTGAAAATTGAAGCTTCTGCCCTCGCCAAAGCCTGTGGACCAAAAGGTCCTGGGTTCGATTCCAGTCAAGAGCACATGCCCGGGTTGCTGACTTGATCTCAGTGGGAGGCATGCAGGAGGCAGCTGATCAATGATTATCTCTCATCGTTAATGATTCTATCTCTCTCTCTTCCTCTCTGAAATCAATAAAAATATTTTTTTTTAATTGAAGCTTTTGTTTATTTGCGACCCACATAAACTTAAATCTTGTTTATTTGGCTTGTGTTAGCCTTTGAGTCTGACATGCTTGGTCAACAGCATATCATGATCATTCATATAAGATAAAAATACAATTTTATTAACTTGCTTATTATAAATGTATAGAATAACTGCAAAAATACATGAAAAATTGGTAAGACTAGTACCTGGGGTAAGAAAGAGACTGGATGGCCAAATGACAGGGGTGGGAAAGAGAATTTTTTATATCTTTTGAGCTATATAAATATATTATCTATTATAGAAAAAATTTTGTATTTATTGCAGCTATAAATGTTGCCTAAACTAAAATTAGCAATTAAGTTCTTAGAAAACCTGCTCTGAACTAGAGAAATGACAACATTTTTTATTAACAAAAATGTTATTACCTCATCATATGTGTATCTGTAGTCGCCTTTTTTTGATTTGAGGTCCCATAAAACTACTGTTCCAGATTCAAAGCCAATCAAAAGCTGGAATAAAAGAAAATGACACATTACCTAGGAATGGTAGTAATCATATGAAGCATTTATTTTCTGACAAGGTAACAATTATCATTAATATGCATCTAATATAAAATTAATGTAATTAAACATCTGCATTGCTAATTACTAAACACATAGATCACAAATGAGAATACTATATTTCATATTTACATGCTTTTTATGATTAGGGGCTCAATATATATCATACAAATTTTTTTGAGAGAGAAAACTACCATTTTGAAGTCCTCAGTGTACATTTTAATTAATATAATAAATTAGCAATACAAATTCACATTTTTATGTGCTTTAAAGTTCACAAACTTTCCTAATTCAACACATTATCAGGTAATCTCATTTATTTATCTACATATTAATTAGTTCTAAATTATATCCAGCCTAGATCCTTCACATGAGATTTAGACTCATAATTCCAGTTGCCACATCTCCACTTATCTACTCAAGAAGAACCTCAAAGTAAATGTTTCCAAGTGAATTCATTATTTTCTTTCTTACTCTCGTCTGGTATTCTCTGTTGCAGTGTCTTTCTCTATTCTTTATCTCAACATTCATTAAGTTGCTCAGGCAAAAACCTGGGGGTCATGTTAACTCTGGGTCCTCCCCTCCTCCCCCACATCAGGTAAAATCATCAAATAATTTTAAAATTACATTCTATCATCTCCTTAACTTACTTTCCTCCATCTCCAATAACTTACTCCAAGACACAAGATCTCTGAAATTAACACTTTATAATGTTTGTAAATGTCAAATTGCTATGTTGTATACCTGAAACTAAATGAATATAATACTGTATGTCAACTGTAACTGGAAAAAAAGACACAAAGATCTCCTTTCTGGTCTCTTATTCTCCCTGATTCCAAGTCTTGCCTCCCTTTTTAACCCATTCCATATTGTGGTTAGAGTAACAGTTCTAAAATGTAACCCTGATCATGTCATGTATGCTCTTATTTAAAAGTTTTTTAGGATAAAGTCCAAACTAAATATGACTTTAAAAGATTCATCCTGGTCTGTCTTCTGCTTACCTCTCCAGCTTTATCCATTACCACACACTCAGTACCCAATAGACTCCAGTCCATCTTTTAATTCATGCTCTCTCTTACCTTGGAGCCTTTGCACATGCTGTCTTTCTACCTGGGCCACTCGACTTGAATGTCATGTTCTGCTAGACTAATCCTACTAACTCTTCAGATACCCTCTGAGCTATCACTCACTTCTTCTGTGAAGCCTTCCTTGACCTACCAAATGTAAGTCAATGCCTTTCCTATGTGCTCCAACAGTACTCTGTACTATTTTTCATCTGAAGGGTCACCACACAATATAATAATGGCCCTTGTCTTATCTGAATTATCTTTTAGACAATGACACTGGTCTATTTAAGGAAGGATTGATTTTATCCTATTCACCACCATACTTGTAACATAAGACACAAGAACTGATCCATTGTAGATACTTAATAAATCTTTGTAAATGAATAAATTTTAGACTGGAATGCATGTTCATGCCTTACAAACTGTGTAAGGCATGAACATGCCAACTTCTGCTGTCCACCTAATATTTTCCAAATTTCAGTATTTCCTCTGCTTGAACCTCCTCCCCTTTTATTTACTAAAGAGTGTTCTATTCATTTTTAAGAATCAGTTTAGTTGCTTTCTTGGTTAAGCCTACCCAATTGCTCTAGAAAAAGAGATGCAACTACTCCTATACTAGTACATGCATTTCACCTATATGTCTCTAATAGCGGCCTAATACATGTTAGACACTCAACTAGTTGTTTAATGAATGCATAATTAGTAGGTAGTTGATAACCATTTATGTACTCTAAGATATGAACAAAATTTGGGGAAGAACCAATAATTTTAATGAAATATCAATTTAGTAGATTTCAGACTACAGTACATTTATAGGAGCCAGTCATTGAGACTAACAAAAGAGGCTTTCCCACAATGGCAGGAAGTATAATTTCTGTAACCCAAACACTTTTTTCCCCAGGCTGTCTTATATAGATACACTTTCTAAAAAAAAACAAAAAAAAACAACTGTATTTGTTTCCTTTAACTTTTCCTAGTCCTTCCAAGTATCATGGATATGTGATTATGTCACTTTCTGACGAGGGAAGAAAACTTCAGAAATAAAAAGAGATGAAAAAGGATGAAACTCAAGAACTGATGTACAGTATAAACAACACTGGATTGCTCAGCACTAAGCTCTCAAATGTGCCATTTAGTGTCCATGTAACTTTAATAATGTTACCCCTCCAGGTCCCAACTGGTGCATGAATTTGTGCACTGGGCCTCTAGTCCTCTCATAAAAAGCATCAGTGCATACAATGACTACGCATACAGCTCTCTACATTAATAACTTATCTATATCTTACAGAGAAAATACAGTACAATGGAGAGGACTCTGGAGTTGAAACCAGTGAAATCAGTGTTCAAAATCCCAGTTCCACCAATATCTAACTTTGTATTTCTTGACCACATAATACTTTCAAGTCTCTGCCTGATCATCTGTAAAACAAGAAAGATATCTCACTAAAATTTGCTGGATCAGATGAAACAGTGTATTTAATGTGTCAACATAGTGTCTGACACAAAGTAAAATTCAATAAATGGCAGTCAATATAATCTATTATAACATCTTAATGTTTCAAAGATGTTGAATGAGATTAACTCTGGGAACTAAGGAGAATTAATATAATGCAAGTTTCAAAAAGTGAGGATGATATAAACATTATAATTTATTTTCGCAGTGAATTAAGAATATATTGAGCAGTTACTATTTATACTGTACAGACAGCCCTTGGGTTACATCAGACTCGACATACAACGTTTTGTGGTTATGTCGCCATCTCCCATTTATTTACAAAAAGAAAGTTCATCATTTCAACATATGTACATATGTGCTTTATGTTTTTTATTACTTATTTACCACAAGTAAAGTTCAGGAATTGTTATCTTTCTTTTAAATTTTTTTTTACCGTTTCACTTTATTACTGCTGTGTACTGTATGTGCTCCACGTGAGTGACGTAGGTGCTTATGTAGGTGTGTTTCGACTTACAGTGAAAATCATGTTATGCCACGCTGCAGAAATGGATCTCTGAAATAACTGGAGGACCTACTGTATTCTGAATATAATGTGAAATGTAAATCTGCATAAATATTACCTCTGTGTTCATGAAGCTTTTTCGAGTTCACATATACACACATTTCTAATACAAGGCAATATGTGGCAAATATTGTAAAGCTTACATTAATAAGACGCTAGCGAATTTAGAAGTGAGAGAAAGCATTTTCTTTCAGAATTATCTGGGAAAATATCATGAAAAAAATTACTTAATCCGAGTCTTAAAATGAGGGTAGGACCCAGCCAGTTTGGCTCAGTGGTTGAGTGTTGATCCATGAACCAAGAGGTAGCCTGTTGGATTCCTAGTCAGGGCACATGCCCCAGATGCAAGCTTGACCCTCAATGCAAGAGAGAGCCAATGATGATGTCTCTCTCTTGTTGATATTTCTATCTCTCCCACTCCCTCTCTCTAAAAATCATTGATTATAAAAAATATAAATATTTTTAAATGAGGGTAGGAAGTCACTGGAGAGAGAATATCATTAAATAGAACTACCTAAAAGAATTTCAAACAGAGAGACTCACATAAACAAAGCATGAAGGCAGCAAAGAGCACTCAAAAATGAGAAATAATTATCTGCTTCAGTACAGCATTTTGGTTAAGATGTTCTGAAAGATAATGAAGCCCAAAGCTACAGTTGAAGAAACTCTTTTTGTTAGATACTGTAGAACCACTGAAAGCTTCTGAACAGGAGAGAAGAAAGATTAAAATGGCACTCGAGGAAGACTGATCAGGAAATGATTCAAGAATGAGTTAGAATGCCTCTAACTACCTTGGCCATAATGTTCTGTAATAAAAAGAGACACTGAAAAGGAACGATTTAAATGATTTAGTGACCAAGTCGAAGTAGAAGGAAGGAAAGTTTTCAATTCTCCCCACCCTGCCTCTCACCCAAAGGCTTACCTTTCAAACAAGTATGTTGCACCAAAGAAAATAAAGTGAAGATACAGGTTACTGTAACGTGCTTCATGTAGTTTCTCTCAAAACATACAATTTTATATATAAATATAAGCTAACTCTAAATATTAGGTATAGTAATAATTAATGTCGTTTTCTAATATACTTTTTTAAATCGAATTTATTTAAACAATACAACAAAATTTAATCAACAATATAGTTGCCGTTCTTTTCTACTACTTGTGCCCAACGCTCAGGAAGCATTTTAATCCCTCTGTTGTAAAATTCTTGTGATTTTGATGCAAAAAATTCGGTCAATGCATTTTTGAGGCATTCTTCATTATTAAATTTTTTTCCAAGAAGAAAGTTTTGCAAAGAACGAAACAAATGGTAATCGGAAGGGGCAATATCAGGAGAATATGCAGGTTGAGGGAGAACTTCCCATTCCAACTGGCGCAGTTTTTCAGCAGTGATTCTTGCAGTATGCGGTCGTGCGTTATCGTGGTGAAGAATTACGCCCTTCCGATTAATCAGCGCGGGTTCTTTTTCTCTTAAAGCTTGGGCTAACCTTTCCAATTGGGCACTATACACTGCACTTGTAATGGTTTGGTTAGATGGTAAAAGTTCATAATGAAGAATTCCTTTAAAATTCCACCAAACACACAACATCACTTTTTTCGCATGCAAGTCAGGTTTTGGTGTGGGCTGCGGAGCCTCATTTTTGTCCAACCATTGAGGCCGCCTTTTCAAGTTAACATACAGCACCCATTCTTCATCTCCGGTAACAATTTGCTCTAAAAACAGCAAACGGTTTTTGACGAGAGAGGAGCAAACTGCAAATTGTGACTCTTTGATTACGGTTGTTGTCGGTCAACTCATGAGGAACCCATTTTCCAAACTTTTGGACTTTGCCAAGTGCACACAATTGATTGGAAATTGTTTTTTGTGAACAATTTAAAGTTGTCGCAAGCTCTTGTTGGGTAATTTGAGGATTTTGCACCAAAAGAGCTTGAAGAGCTTCTTGATCAAAATTGGACACACGGCCTCGACCACTCTTGTCATCTAACGAAAAATTTCCCTCTCGAAATTTCTCAAACCAACGCTGGCATTTTCTGGCGCTAACTGCATCTTGACCAAGAGCACTACAGATGTTTTATGCAGCCTCACTTGCTTTTCTTCCTAATTGGAACTCGTAAAGCATGCAGTGCCGAATATGCTCTTCATCCGCCATTTTCTTAGCCCTAGTTTTGCAACAAAAACCAAACCAAACACAAACTTTTTCAAGCAAAACTTGTTAATTGCACTTCACACGTTCTGTAGAGACCACGTGTTTGAAGGTTATGTCAATACAAGTCAACGCCAAGCAAGATTTTAAACGAATGTTAAAAAACGACATTAACTATTACTAGACTCGATAGTACAGCTACCCTTTTGTTTTCCCAGTGACAAATAAAAGAACAGTGTTAAACAATCTATAGGCTCAACTACTCCCACTAATTGAGGAAAGGAAAAACCTGGGTAAAGTGCTTCACAAAATTTCTAAATTTCATTTCACTGATTTCCAATAGTGACAAATTTCCTGGTATTTACATAGGTTAACATAATAAATTTATATACAAAGACATTCTATCTTTAAATAGAAATACCTGACAGATTGGTTGGATTAGGAAGTAGAAATCATGGAAAAGGAATTTTTATGATTTTTAAATATATTTAACAAAACTAAATTAACAATAGCTAGATACTGCTTGCATAAAACTGGTTCCTGGTTATAAAAACTTAAATAAAAATTTAAAAAATTCTACATTATTAATCTAAGCTACAATATTTTTTTCTTCTCACAATTTTTAAAAACAAATTTGGAAGGTATAGTCATTGAAATTTTTTTCTTTTTTTATTTCTTTATTGATAAAGAAAGCAATCTTTGCTCTCCCCATTAAAATACCAACAACATACTTCACAGACCTAGAACGACACAGACCTAGAACGAACTCTCCAAAAATTCATCTGGAATAAAAAAACAAAAACAAAAACAAAAACAAAACAACCCGAATAGCTACAGCAATCCTGAGAAAGAAGAACAAATTAGGAGGGGTCTAAATACCAGATATCAAGCTGTATTGCAAAGCCACTGTTTTTCAAAACTGCCTCGTTTTGAAAAACAGTGGCTTTGCAATACAGACACAAGAACAGACTTAAGGCCAATGGAATAGAATAGATAACCTAGAAATCAAACCAAACCACTATGCTCAATTAATATGTGGTAAAGGAGGCATGAACATACAATAAAATCCAAACAATCTCTTCAATAAATGATGTTGGGAAAACTGGAGAGATACACGCAAAAAAATTAAACTAGACCACCAACATACACCATACACAAAAATAAACTCAAAATGGATAAAGGACTTAAACATAGGTCGGGAAACAATAAAAATACTAGAGGAATCCACAGGTAGAAAAATTTCATGCCGAAGGAATTTCTTCACTGATACTGTTCCTAGGGCAATGGAAACTAAAGAGAAAATGAACAAATGTGACTACATCAAACTAAAAAACTTTTCACAGCAAAAGAAACCACCAACAAAACAAGAAGAAAGTCCACTGCTGAGGAGAACATATCTGCCAATGTTATCTCCGAAAAGGGTTTAATTTCCAACATGTACAGGGAACTCATATAACTTAACAAGAGGAAGATAAATAATCCAATCAAAAAATATGCAACAGATACTTTTCGAAAGAACACATACAGGAGGCCAGGAGACATATGAAAACATGCTCAAAGCCATTAATCATCTGAGATATGCAAATCAAAACAACAATGAGGTACCTTCTCATACCTGTCAAAATGGCTATCAACAAATCAACAAATGACAAGTGCTGGTGAGGATGCAGAGAAAAAGGAACCCTTGTGTACTGTTGGTAGGAATGCAGACCGATGCAGCCACTGTGGAGAACAGTATGGAGTTTCCTCAAAAAAGCTAAAAATGGAACTCCCATTTGACCCTGCGATCCCACTCCTAGGAATATATCCCAAGAAACTAGAAACATCAATCAGAAAAAATATATGCACTCCTATGTTCATAGCAGCACAATTTACAAGAGCTAAGATTTGGAAACAGCCTAAGTGCCCATCAGCAGATGAGTAGATTAAAAAACTGTGGTACATCCACACAATGGATTACTACGCTGCTGTAAAAAGGAATTCCTGCCACTTTTGCAACAGCATGAATGAAACTGGAGAGCATTATGCTAAGCGAAATAAATCAGTTAGAGAAATACAAATATCACATGATTTGATTCATTTGTGGAATATAATGAACATAAACTGTTGAACAAAAAGAGATCTAAAGACAGAGAATCATAGATCAGACCATCAAACCTCAGAGGAAAGGCAAGGGAGGGTGGGAAGAAAGGGAAGATATCAACCACAGACAATCTAAGCTACTCATAAAGAAAAATTTAGGGAAGATAAGATATACAAACAACTCTAACATGTGATTTTATAGTATTGCTACAAAAACTGTATAACTAAAGCACTAAAAAGAATTCAAAATCAAAAGAAAACAGTTTTTATGAGAAATATGAGAAAATCTGGGAAAATATTTTAAATAAGTAAAAATAAGTTAATAACCTTTATTTTTATTTTTTTATTAAATTATTATCTGTGTACATCTCTTACCATTGCCCCCCCCAAATAAATTAATAACCTTTAATTGCTTCTATTAAACTTAACTTGTTTTAGGGTTCTTTTATTGTTCTTTAAAATTGTAAATGATTCTAATTTTTTCACTTGTTCATAATGTACAAACAAGGGCTATAGCCTTTGTTAGTAATCTCAACTTTGCAAGGTGTGTCTTGAATAGTTTGCATATTAAAAAAATACCAAAATTCATACATTTAGGTTAATAAATATATGTTTTAGAAAAAATTCTACCTTTCCTTCATCCATTGGATTATCACTTATATGTACAATAGGTCCTGGATGAGACTTAGATGACCTAAAAAAGAAAGATTAGTAAAACTTTTTGTGTCAGCTAAAATTTTAAATACAATTTTATATTCATCACAATAAGAATAATGAATGAAAAATAAAGATATATTTATAAAAGGTATAAATGTTTCAGTAAGTGATCAATTACAGATATTTAGCTCTTAATATGAATTGAAAAAGAAATAAGAAAAACATAGTGACTGTTAAGTTGATACAAGTAAGAAAAAAACTACAATTAATTAATTTGGATAAATATAAGTACTTTGTGTATACAAAAGAATCTTCAATTTAGTATTATAGCACAGAAAATCTATTCTCATGGTAGAATTCTCAGAGTTAATATTTTTAAATAAAGTAGCATCTAAAATATTGCAATCTTGTTTTACTTAAATCTAGTCTCCAATTAGGGCATTTTATCCAGTTCCATAGTTCACACAAAAAGTAGAAAAAAACTATATTATCTTAAAAAACAAATTAACAAAAGTAATGTCACCTATACTTGCTCAGAAAAAAATAAGTCATGTAGATAAAAATGTAGCTGTACTGAGGTTTATACTGCATGAATAAGCACTTATCTATTCATAAACTCAACAGACTAAAAGACTAGTCCACTTCATGAGAGATATTTGTGAAACCACAAAGACAACTACACCAGAACTACCCACCAGATGCTGTGATCAACTCAAACAACAGACCAAGAAAACCCACACCTGTATCAAGGGACTGATATCTCTCTCTCTCTCTCTCTCTCTCTCTCTCTCTCTCTCTCTCTCTCTCTCTCTATATATATATATATATATATATATATATATATGGCTAATATGCAAAGTGTACCCCAGAGAGTTCAACCATGAGACCCAGGAGTTCGATTGCTTGCTCGCTATGATGTATGCTCATCACCAGAGGTTGGTGCAGAACATGGTGGGTGACCAGCAGTGGCGGAGCGTGGGTGACAAGGGAAGGAGGAGGTGGGAGGTGAGGAGGCAGGGAACTGCACAGTGGCACGCAGGCAGTGAGGAAAGGAGGAGGTAGGAAGGCAGGGAGGTGGGGAGGTGGGACCCTGATCGGTCCTGATTGCTGGCCAGCCCTAAGGACCCTACCCATGCATGAATTACATGCGTTGGGCCTCTAGTATGATAATAATGTTCCTGTTACAAGAAACAAAACCAAGCTTGATATGCTATTACAGCTGTACACACTACTTAAAAGAGATGCCACAAATTTATCGCCATGTCAAAGTGATATAAAGTTGTGGAGTACAAAAATTCAGATCTATTTATTTAAAAAGAAAAACAAAACAAAACAAAACAAAATGAAAATGAATCTTGCCGATTTTCTTAAATTTTTATGTCTAAATTATTTAAGAAAAAAACAGAGATAAGGTGCAAAAATAAGATTCTAAGACAAGAGTGAAAAGTTAGAACTACCGTGTTTCCCTGAAAATAAGACATCCTCCGAAAATAAGACCTACTTACAGGTTTCCTTCTGAGAGAAATATAAGGCATCCCCCCAGAAAATAAGGCCCCCCTAGGCTGTCGCAGAATGCTATTGCTAAACATGAGAGATTTGGTCCACTGATTCTGAAAGAAATGGAGTTACAAGAAATTCACCAGGAAATTCAGGAATTGGATTGTTATGATGATGTTCCAGAAGATGATGACATGATTGTCATTGAATAAATGAGTAAATTCTTGATACTATAAGATTCACAGTTTGTCTGGTTTGTGTTGACAACTACCGTACTGCCGTACCATATACAGGTAATAAATTTCCTTTATTTTCATTTAACAATAAATGTGTACCGTATTCTTCTTCATGGAAAAATAAGACATCCCCTGAAAATAAGACCTAGCACATCTTTGGGAGCAAAAATTAATATAAGACACTGTCTTATTTTCAGGAAACAGGGTTAAAGTTAAAATCCTTACAGTCCTTGAGCTCATCCAGTTTTTGTTGTTGTTATTATAAAATGAAAACAATCATCATTATATCAAAATTATGTCAAGTGAATTTTGCAATGTTACATGGTAAATATTTAGACTACATTTGCTAATTGTTAAAATATATCAGGTAGTAGTTTAGATCAGTGTTTTACAAAATTGGTGGCAACACATTAGTGAGTCATAAAATCAATTTAGTGGGGCCTGACAAGCATATGAAATAAAAAGAATTAGAAGATTAAAAAAACAGAGCATTCATGGACATAGACATGGATAGGGCAGAGGGGATAAATGGTGATGGAGAAAAAAGATAAAAATAAGACTATTTTCACCTAATAATATTTTTTTCATTAAATTTGTGCAACAGTTCATACATATGTGAACACATACTATTAAGTGTGTTCCCACCCAGCAAGGGCCAGGGATGTGATTCGCCGGCGGGGCTTGATTGGGGTGGGGTTGGCCAGGTTTGGATCTCACATGATTTCAAGGCTTGCTTTGGGGGATGGTGGGGGGGGGGGGGGGGGGGGGGGGGGGGGGGGAGGGGGGGGGAGCGCGGAGGGGGGGGCGGGGCAGGGAGCTTGACTCTGGGTCCCGAGGCCCACCCCAGACTCTGACAGGAGGGAGGAGGGAGCCAGATATCTGCATACAGCAGGGCGGCAGAGGTTAGGGGCATCAGGCTGGCAGGCGAGCAGTTGGGGACATCAGGCCAGCAGGCAAAGGTGATTAGGGGCAATTAGGCAGGCAGACAGGCAATCGAGCCTAAACTGGCAATCGGACATCCCTCAAGAGGTCCCGGACTGGAGAGGGTACAGGTTGAGCTGAGGTACTGACCACCCCCTATATGTGAATTTCATACAATGGGCCTCTAGTAAATAATACAAGGAAATAAACTTTGTTTCATATACTCACAACTATAACCCTTTTGCCCAACCCCTGTATATAAATCATTTAAATGTACAAAGTACCAATACTTACAAAAGACTAATCTATATTTGATATCAAGAAGGTTTGACAGATATTTAATTCAGTATGAATTTAATGATTAGTTATTATATAATATCATTTATGGTATTGATACTTTTAGATACATAAGATTTGCTCTAACTCACAGTTCAATGGCTTTATTCCACATAATGACGTAGCCTGAGAGGGTGAAGGACTCCACGTTGACAATATGTATGTTACCTCGTTCAGTGCCCACATAGAGCCATTTACTCTGGAAAGGCAAATGGCAAAATGTAATCCTGCAAGAGAACATATATTTAAAAAAATTATTTTAAGATGTCTGTTATATTTTATTAATTGTATTAAAGAGTTAATCATGATATATTTAACTTATGAAAAGCAAATATGATACACCATTGTGATTAATATTTAATTATATTATGATAAACCATCAAATTTACTCATTGTGTTTAATTAATTATACTAATTAAACTTAGCTTAGTCAAAGGCCTTACAGTAAATAGATAGGATGGCATGATAGAAAGAAGACAAGTTTTGAAGATAAAGCAGTTATCCCTCAGTATCCTTGAGGGATTCTGTAACCAATTACCTGAGGATATAAAAATCCATGGATGGCCTTATGTAAAATGGCACATTTGTGTATAACCTACACAATTCTCTTGTATATTTTAAATCATCTCTAGATTAGTTATAATACTTAACAATGTAAATGCTATATAAATGGTGATTATACCATATTGTTTAGAGTATAACAAGAAAAAAGGTTTGTACATGTTCAGTATTGATGCCACAAATATTGTAGGCCTGTTTCTTTCCTGAATATTTTAGATCTGTGGTTGGTTGAATCTGCAAATGTAAAACCTATGGATACAGAACCCATGGATACATAGGGCCAACTATATGTTTTAAATTTGACCACATCATCCACTAACTATTAGTTTAGGCACATCCAGATGTAACCTTTAAGCAACAAACTATGAGTATAATACCCACATCACCCCCACGTACTACTCTATTCCTCAGGAGTTATTAAATACTAATATCTCTTAGGATCCATGCAAAATGTCTTCCTATGTTTTTCTTCAGTTCAAATACCACCTTCACTCAAACTTATATACCAATATTTCCACATGTCTATCAGGCATGCCTTTGTAAGCCCCTGGAAGGGCAGACATCCTCTGTACTCAGGCTGAGGCAATGCTCTCTGAACAATCACCCCCTGTTCATCCCCTATGTCCTGATTATATGTGAGGGCTTCATTGACAAATTATAATAATTTACATACATGTATTAAATTTTGTCATCATCCCAATAATTTCAAACATATTCTATATCAGCTCATTTGATTTCAAAGACAAAGAATGGAAATGATCTGTGCTTTTGATTTCAAAGTCAAAGAATGGAAATGATCTTGTACTTCAAAAAAGAGCTAGTAGGTTATGAAACTATATAATGCTCATCTTTTCAGAATCTAATTGTGTCTCTCAAAACAGACTATTTAAATCTCGATGGAATAGCACTTAGAATAACACACTGATAATAATCACTACTAGACTGTTAATACTCAGAGTAGGTAGAAGGCAAGATATTGTATGCAGAAGATTTTCTGTTCCCATTAACACACAATTTCATTCCTGAGAATTTTCTAGGTGAAAACATTTATCAAATAAACATACATGCAACTCATGGTCTCACTATTTTCTATAGGTACTGCTCATTTAAATAAATACTTAAGGTTAACTATTTTCTATTGGATGTTTTATAAGATAAAGTCATTTTTCTAAAGGACTGACGTATATTTAACAGAGCACAGAAATGCCTACTGACTAAAAAAACTAATTTTATAGTACCTTATTACCTCACAACATAGTAAGTTCACAGTATCATTCTGAAAACTTTAAGGCTATTTAGGTTTCCGAATTCAGAACTTTCTAGATTTTAGAAAAGTACATAATCCTTATTTTATATATTACTAAATATGGGGCGAGCATATCATAAACACTTAACTTTTTTGAGATATAAATTTAAATAGCTTATTTTTAATATAATTTCCATATAACATTATATTAGTTTTAAATGTACAACATAATGATTCCATGTATGTGTACATTGTGAAATGATCACCACAATAAGTCTAGCTAATATCATCACCACACATACAGTTAAGTATTTTCTTGGGGTGAGTACTTTGAAGATGTATTCTCTTAGCATCTTTCATATATCAATACAGTATTATTAAGTTAGTCACTGAAAGTTTCTTTAAAAAGTAAATATACATCCACAATATAATTAGCCCACTCCATTCTATGTCTTTACTTAAAGAAAAGAAAGCAAATGCCTATAACAAAACATATAAAAATATTTATGGCAGCTTTGTAATAGCTAAGAACTGGAAATAATCCCAAACATCCATGTCCATCAACAAGTAAATGGGTGAACAAACTGTGTTACACACTTAGAATACTATTCACAGGTTAAAAAAAAAACAGAAAAAAACAAAACTATACTGATGCATGCAACAACATTGATAATTTCTAAATTCTTAGGATAATTAAAAGAAGCCAGAAAAACAAGGATGTTTTGCATGATTCCATTTATATATTATTTATATGCAATAGAAAATGCAAACTTATCTATTGTAACAGAAAACAGATTGTTGGTTTCCTGGAGATTACAGGGGTAGAGGCTCATAACAGACAGAGAAGGGAAGTTCTTATTCAAAATGGTGAAAAATGGAAAGTAAAAATAAGCCACTGGTCCATAATGGTTTTGAAATCAAATTGGGCAAATGTTGGGTTTTTCTTAATTAGGTTTCAAGACCTGGGAATAATCCTGTGTGGCTCTCAGCTCCATGCTCTTAATCATCCTTCCTTTTTCATAAAAGGCAGCATTTGTTTGTAGCTGAGGACTTTTATCAGCCTGCACCTGGTAGCAGCCTCCTTTCATTTTGTTCTCTCTGGCTCTTTAAACCAGAGTTAGCAATGTTTCTGCTATAAATTTTTCTGAAGAAACTTGTGAGTCTTAAATTTCACTGGGCTTTACTCTACTAGACAGAAATCACACCCACAAATCTTCCTGTGATAATCTCTTCTGTATGTTGGCTCCTACTGAGAGACCTGAAGGTTGATATTCTTAAGCTTCCTAGAGGCTTTCTGGTTTGGGTGAGAAGATCTATGAAGGCACACACATAACCTCTTGAAAGAGATTTTTGGTAAAACACTATACGACCAAACCCTCATGTTTTTCTCTATGCCACATTTTCAGAAGCAATCTTTTTGTCAGATAGATCAGGGTGAGAATTTCCTAAATTATCAAAAGTCTTAGATCCTTTAATAATACTTCCCTAATTTTTTTCTCTCTTTTAGCATTTTATTATAAAGCCAAAAGAAAGATTCATGTTGTACCTTCAACACTCCCCTTGGAAATCTTAATATGTTAATCACTTACATATTGTGCAGGAAATACTTCTCATAAACTTTCTGCCACTACATAACAAGGAACCAATTCCTCCACTTTCCAAAAACATGTTCCTTTCTCCCTCTGAGCAATCTCCATGTCAAGTGTCCTACAAACACTTGTTCGAATTTAGGACAATTGAGGCTTTTCTGTAATGCTCATCAAAATTCTTCCAACCGCCAGCCATGACCTGGTTGCAGAGATTTCCACATTTTTAGGTATTTCATATAGCAACATCCCAGTTCTGGGTACCAAAATCTGTATTAGATTTTTACTGCTGAATAACAAATTACCACTAACTTAATAGTTTAGGACAACACCCCCTTTTCAATCTCAGTTTCTGTAGGTCAAAAGTTCAAGTACTGCACGACTGAGTTCTCTACTTAGGGTATTAAAATGCTGAAATCCAGGTTATTAACCAGCGTCACTTTCTAAAGATCTGGGAAAGAATCAGCTCTCAAACTTATTCAGGCTTCTAGTAAAATTCAGTTTCTTATGATTGTAAGACTGAATGTCCCTTGCTGTGAATCCCTCTCATACTCTGAACCTTTGTCATGAAGAAAGCAGGACCTTTTAAAAGGCATAATTGATTAAGTCAGGCGCACTAAGGACAATCACCTAATCTTAAAGTCAATTAATGCAGACCTCAATTAATATACAAAATGCCTTTAGACTAGTGTTTGTTTGAATAACCAGAAGGAGAAATTTTAGGACCCATTTTAGAATTCTGCCTACCACACATATATAATTAGGAATAGATGTGCTGAGTTGTATTGACATATGTAAATGCTACCAAAAATTTTCCAAATGATTATAATGCTTAACACTTCCACTAGTAGGTTATGAAAAGTTACAGTGTTGTCACATTCAAGCCAATGTTTTTGCCATGCTGTTGGATATTAGTGTAACTAGTACTTTGCATTTTCCTAATGACTACTGTCTTCTTTTAAAAGTCAGGATATTAAAAATAAAAGGTTGAAAAAGGTAGGGTTAATTATTCTATCATGTGTTTTTAACATAAACTTCTAAAATGGCATCCATCCATATTGTTTATAGTTATTACTAGAGGCCCGGTGCATGAAATTCATGCACGGTGGGAGGGGGTGTCCCTCAGCCCAGTCTGCACCCTCTCCAATCTGGTACATCCTTCTCACAATCCAGGACTGCTGGTTCCTAACTGCTTGCCTGTCTGCCTGCCAGCCTGATCGCTCCCAATTGCTCTCCTCTACCTGCCGATCATCACCAACTTCCCTCCCCTGCCTGCCAGATCACCCCCAACTGTCCTTCCCTGCCAGCCCAATCGCCTCCAGCTGCGCTCCCCTACTGGCCAGTTTGCCTCAATTGCCCTCCACTGCCAGCCTGATCATCCACAACTGCCCTCACCAGCCAGCCATCTTGTGGTGACATCACAGGAGTTCATCGCCCGAGGGCATGACGCCACCCAGACTTTTATTATATAGGATAGGATATGTCTGGGCCTTTGCTTTAACATAAATTATTCAAGCATTTTTTCATCTTTGTTATCTCAATCCCTATCATAATACCTGGTACACAGAAGGTATCCGATATTTGGTGAACTGAACTTAATTTACCTTCTAAATTCTTTTTCATTTCCAATTGTGAAGCACTGCTTCCATTCTATATTCCTCCTAAGTCAACCAGATTTTATATTTCTTTCAGCAGTCTAAGACATAATTTGTCTGAGCCAGTACTGCATTAATACAGTTACAGGAACAAAATATGAGTGGGCAAAAGAGGCTTACAGTTGTGTGTACATGCAACACAGTTTATTCTTGTATTATCATTATTATAGGATTTATTTGTATTACAATTCTAAACCTACTTTTTTCCACCCCTGTATGTCTGGCCTCTATTTAAAATTAATACACTTAGTTTTTCTACCCAAAACAAAGTGTTTCCATTCATTACTTTGTCTTTAGTGTTTATCACAATACTTAGTTCCTATTGACAGGCAAAACTAAATTGCTCTTATATTCACCTTTGATTATGTAACCCCTCCTTCCATATAACCCTTTTATACTTGAGTACATTTCAAGACCCTTGTGCAACCAGACTAATCTCTGGATGTCTTTCCCAATTTCCTTGTCAGAATTGCTTAGTTGTTAGTTATGTATAATTTTATTCTAGGAAGTTATCGAACATTTCCTAACCATCTTTCCTTTTACAGTCTCAAGGTCATCAAATCACAATTGTCTTTCCTCAAACACAGAATTTTTTTTTTTTAAATTTTGTATCATTTGCACAATTCCCAAGGTGACTCATCATTTCCATATCACCAACAAATTACCTTTGTAGATTAGAATTAGGTCCAAAGAAATAGATCCCTCTGCATACCTTCCTACCAGGCCTGAAAATCATTCTATTCCTGTGCTCAAATTGAATTTTATTCCACCAAATTGCTCTCATGTTTAATGCTTATACACTTTTCATTATGCTGCTTTCAAAGAAAAATATTTTGCTGATGTGACTCAATTAGCACAAAAACTGTAATTCTAGGTCTCTTGATTTGTTTCAATATTATGATTAATTTTTTTCTTGCACAGAAGTATGTGCAGTGAATTAATTCAAAATCTTGGGAAGACCTGTATACATTTTCTAAGGGCTGGTATCTAGCCAAATACTCTTTTACAGTTATGCTCTATTCATGTGCACTGTGCAAATTATAAGCTTCATACATATGCAAAGTACAATATTTAGGTAGTATTATAATGAGAGTATAATGGAATAAATTAGTTTCTGTTCCTACATTAACTTATTTATGCTACTAAGAAAATCTGATGCCAGGGAAGCAGTCAGTTCCTGAGGTGCCTTTTCTAGTAGGCACCAACTTTCCCACTGCTATGTAGTTATCTGAATGAAATGCTTCATTTGCCAAACAGTTTTGTTCTTAAGAGGTCTCTGGACATTAATGCTTCATTAATTAGGATGTAATTTTGATCACTAATGTATTCCATGTAATATTGTATTTTCTTAATCATAAGTACATGGTGCATGCATGCTCATTTTATTATATAACTAGAGGCCCAGCACATGATATTAGTGCACAGGGGTGTGTGTCCCTCAGCCCAGCTGCACTCTCCAATCTGGGAAACCTTGAGGGATGTCTGACTGTCCATTTATGCCTAAACAGTCACAATCCAGGACTGCTGGCTCCCAACTGCTCACCTGCCTGCCTTCCTGATTGCCCTTAACCACTTCTGCCTGCCAGCCTGATCACCCCTAACCACTTCCCTGCCAGCATGATCAAGGCCTAACTGCTCCCCTGCCCACCCGATTGCCCCTAACAACCCTCCCCTGCAGGTCTGGTCACCACTAACTGCCCTCCCCTGCAGGCCTGATTCCCTCCAACCTCTTTCCCCTGCAGGCCTGGGTCCCCCACAACTGACCTTCCCTGCAGGCCCAGTCACCCCCAAATTCCCTCCTCTGCCGGTCTGGTCACCCCTAACTACCCTCCCCTGCAGGCTTGATGACCCCCAACTGCCCTCCCTTGCAGGCCTGGTCCCTCCCAACTGTCCTTCCCTGCTGGCATGATCGCCCACAACTGCCCTTCCTTGCAGACCTGGTCCCTCCCAACTGCTCTCAGCTGCTGGCCATCTTGTGTCCACATGGGGTCAGCCATCTTTTTTTTTTTTTAAATATATTTTATTGATTTTTTACAGAGAGGAAGGGAGAGAAATAGAGATAGAAACGTCAATGAGGGAGAAACATCGACCAGCTGCCTCTTGCACATCCCCTATCGGGGATGTGCCCGCAACCAATGTACATGCCCTTGACCGGAATCGAACCCGGGACCTTAGTCCGCAGACCGACGCTCTACCGCTGAGCCAAACCGGTTTCGGCAGGGGCAGCCATCTTGATGGTCAGTTTGCATACTACTCTTTTATTATATAGGGCCAGCTGGTTTGCCCTGAAAGGTGTCCCAGATCAGGGTAGGGATTTCCTTGGGGGGTGGGGAAGCCTGTGCAAGGGGCCTGTGGTGGTTTGCAGGCCAGTCACGCAACCCGGCAACACAAGTGGAGGCCCTGGTATCTGGGATTTATTTATATTCTATAACTGAAACTTTGGAGCAGAGACCAAGGCAAGCCAGGGATGTGGGAGCTTGGTTTCCTCCATCGCCAGGGGAAACTCAAGCCTCTTCTCTCTTCAGCTCCGTGGCTGCCGCCATTTTTGTTGGGATTAATTTACCTTCTATAATTGAAACTTTGCAGCCTAAAGCTGAAGCCAGGCCAGAGCAGGCAGAAAGCTTGGCTTCCTCCATTGCCAGGGAAACCCAAGCCTCCTGCTCGGTCTGAGGACAGACATCTTGGTTTGGTTAATTTGCATATTTGCTCCTGATTGGCTGACAGGCATGACTTGTGGGTGTAGTGGAGTGATGGTTAATTTACATATTACTCTTTTATTAGATAAGCTAAGGAATTACATAATTAAGATATATAATTATCAGAGTATAGTAGTGGGATTTAAATGAGAAAGCCCACATATATAATTAAGTCTTCAGCCTTCAAATGCTTCATATATTGTTATTTTAAAAACTGTTATGCAAAAATTTAACATTCTAACTCAAGGTAACGAAAAAGATCTAATAAGGCAATTACCAGATAGAATTTGCTTGCCAAACTCTAAATTTCAACATAGATAAATAACCTCTTCTTTACACGTATAAACCCAAAGTGCATAATAAAGAGGTTCCCCAATATCAAGCAACAAGAAGGAAGAAAATACATATTAGTTTCCTAGGGATGCTATATCAAATTACCACAAATGAAGTAGCTTAAAACAATAGAAATTTTTTCTCTTTGAGTTCCAGAGGGTAGCCACCAGAAATCAAGATGTCAGCAGGGCCATGCTTGCTTTGAAGGCTCAGAGGGAGAATGTGGGAGAATGGATGCCTCTTTCCTAGCTTCTGGTATTGCCTTGGCTTGTAGATGCATCACTTCAATCCCTACTCCTGTCATCCTGCAGTGTTCTCCTGTCTCTCTTGTCCTCTTCTTATAAGGCCACCACTCATATTAGATAAGGTCCACCTTGATAACTTCATATTAACTTGCTTATAAACAAAAAGACCCTATTTCCATTAAAACTACATTCACAAGTACTGGGGATTCAGAATTCAATACATCTTTTGGGGGACACAATTCAATCTATAACAGGAGATGGGGCAGTAAAGGCCATGCCTCCAATATTGCAGAGGATTTAGATGATGTAGATACTACTACTACCAAAGTATTTCTTATGGTTTAAATTGTATTAACAGATAAATCCCTAATAAGAGATAAACCTAAAGAGAGAGAGAGATAAACCTGGAAATTGGCACAATAAACTAAATGCTAGTCAAAGCACAAACACACAAGCCATATGAGAGATTTCTGTGATCAAGATGTTCAACTCGCCGAAACCGGTTTGGCTCAATGAATAGAGCATCGGCTTGGGGACTGAAAGGTCCCGGGTTCGATTCCGGTCAAGGGCATGTACCTTAGTTGCAGGCATATCCCCAGTGGGGGGTGTGCAAGAGGCAGCTGATCAATGACTCTCTCTCATCGATGTTTCTAACTATCTCTCTCCCTCTCTGTACAAAATCAATAAAAATATATTAAAAAAAATATGTTCAACTCTACATGTATCTCATAGATATATTCATAAATGTGGATACTTATATGTAACAATATTACAACACAGCAAAAAAAAAAAAAAATAGAAAGAAAATGATACAAATCCACTAACAAAGATTGACTAAATAACTTATGGTACTTCCATACAATGGAGTATCATGCAATTACGAAATGACTAAGAGAGATTTAAATTTGCCATTATGAAACAATCTATCAGATTAAGTTGCAGAAAAATTATACAATGTCTTCCCGCTTATGCAAAAACAGAAGCTATTGTACACAGACATCTCTGCTTATGCAAACAGACTGCCAGTATTTCTAAAAGGACCCAAAAGAAATGTGTGTGGTTGCCTCTGGAAAGGAAGATAGGTCTGAAAAGGGAAAAAGTAAACAAACTTGCTTTCAGTGGATATCCTCTGAAGTTTTTAATTATTTTTTAGATTGTGCGTAAAGTCCATCACAGAAAAATAAAATCAAAGAATAAAATTCAAGAAAATAGCAAATATCCTATATAAAGGAAAACAGAGATTCTTACCTTTCTCTACAAAATTTAAGTGAATGTAGTATGGCAGGTCTCTTTTGGCGTAAATTCCATAAATGCAACGTATCATCAGCCAAGGCACTCACAAGAGCTCCCTTGAAAATAAAGTGTAATATATTTTATATAGAACACAATTTACAAATATTAAAGGTACTAAGGAGCTGCCAAAAAATCTCCTTCCTAAATTTCTAAACTTTCTGCAAATAGATTTAGTTCTGATAAACATTTGTCTCACCCAAATTCTAAACAGCAAATGCAAAACTGTGTTGTGTACTTATGCACACAATATGTGTAAAAAAATTAACTTCTTCAATAAAGTACAACTTATTTTCGTATTAACTAAAAGTATAGTAGGATCTACTTGGATATTATGGTTCATTACTAGCTATGTAAAGCTAGAGGCCAGACTATAAGTTACATGGTCACTACTATAAATATCTCCTTGACTGAAAGAGCAAAATATGATATGAGGTAACCTTCCAGTTTTATTTGGCTTAAGACAAATCATATGAATGTACTATGCCTAGATCATAATTATACTACTAGAATAAGGAAAATAAAGATTGCATTCAGCACACTGTAATTTCAATGTCCAAAGGGTTGAGAAAAACAAACTAATTTAGAAAATTAAAATATCTAGTACTATTAAATACTACTAAGAATGGAGGAAAAAATTCGATGGCATTATATGAAGATTATGCAGGGTACTCAGTCTCATTCCAGATCTGACAAATCAGAATTTTTAGAGCAAGTACCTATGCAGGTATAGTTTTCTTAAAAGCTTCCCGAAGTGATTCTGATGTGTGAATAGACTTAAGTCTCTGCACTATGATTGGTTTATTAAGACATATGTTTTTCCTCAAAAGAGTAAGATACTGTTCTATATTGAGAAGACAAAAAATGCAACATGAAGAATTTATATTAACTTCAAAAAAGATTTGTAATTCCAATCCTTCAGATTATTGAGAAACCTTAAAATTTCCCTCTTAAAGAAGAGTTTCTCATCTATATAAGAAAATTAAAATAGCTCTGAAGACAAACTTTACATTAAGTGATGTCTCCAAATCCTTTTCCACATTTAGTATTTAAGAGAGCTACTCTGCTGTGTAATTCCTAGTGCTATGATGACTACTGGAAAGCATCCAGAACCTGGGCTTCCCTCGTAGCCCCCCTGGAAGGATGTCCAGTCTAATCAGCATATTATGGTTTTAATATTTACAGATAAAAAAATTTTTTTAAAAGAAAAAGTAATCTGAGTCCTCATACATGGGTTTGACAACTTCCTATATTGTGATTATTTTAAACAATTTATAATGCAGATCTATGCAGAATCCTGAAGTTTAAAACAAGCAAAAACATGCTTCCTTGACCCTGAAAAATCTACACAATTGCATATTATTTGGATCATAATTTTGCTGTTTCCTATTGTCATCTTCAGATCTCTGCACCCATAATGCCTTTTTAAATCCTCTGATATGAAGAAAAACATTTATTAAAAGCCATGAGTAATTTTTGTCTTTCATACACATTTAAGAACTTAGGGGCAAAAATAATGTTCACAAATTATCCTTCTATCTAAGGATAGCAGAGCCTTCTGGAGTAATCTCTCTTTCTTCCTCTATGACCAGCTTTTTCTGCTTGTCCCTACTTCCAGAAAACATCTATTCTCAGAGTCTGCATACATTAAAACCTGCAAACACATTATTTACTCTGCTGTAAAAATGGGGTTTGGTTTCTCTAGCTCCTTCTAATCTTCAAAGTCTACCAAAGAGAAAGGCATCACCAATTACTTCAACCAATAAGTGACACAACAAGAACTTTGGACAATAACCTGTTTCTAATGTATTTTGGTTTCCTGGTTGTATTTCAAAACAACTCATTTAAGAAGTATATTTTCTTATTTATAATAAGCTCCATCTTTAAAAAATATTTCAATATAGATTTTTTATTCTATAACTCTCAATATCACTAAAATAAAATTTAAATGCAGCACCCTGTACCAAAAAGATTTACTTTATACCATTCTATTTGTAACAATATTTTGAGAAATATCTTACATTATTTATGTAACTATCTACAAAGATGTCTTAACACAGGAGTGGTGAACATCGCGCCTGTAGGCCATATAAGGCCCACGAAATCATTTGGTCTGGCTCTATCAAAACATTAGGGTGAGTTAATTAAATGTTTGACCAAATATAGCAGGCTAATTTTTAAGTTGATAATTTTGTATGGCATGTGAATGATGTTATAAATATTCAAATGGACCTTGGCAGAAAAAAAAGGTTCCCCATCCCTGTCTTAAAGTGAATTACTATTATCTGTAACCTATATAAAATTAGTTTTTGTTCACATATGTCAATATAAATGAAGAAATCTGAAAGACAAGATGTGGCCCTAATTCCTACATAAGTAAGAGAGATTAAAGCAATTCACTAACCTCATTAATCAGGAACTGGAGCTGGATGACTGCAGATCCACTGTCATGCTGGCAATAACATTCTACTCCTGGACGACCAAAGCTGTCATTAATTCCATTAAGGAGTTTATGCTATGTGTGGGCTTTTCACAGAAATTGGTAAATTATATACCAGACTCATAAATATACCAATGGCCTGATATGCAATACACACTAGTTACTGGGTCTAGTAATAATTAATGTCGTTTTTAAACATTCGTTTAAAATAGGGGTGTCGAACTCAATCAGAGAAGGGGCCAAAATCTAAAATCCAGCCTAAATCGCGGGCCGAATGGTTTACTGAACAGTCATAAACTGTCATTGTGATGGAAACGCAGCGGAGTGCAGTGATGACAGCGCGGTGCGGGCCACATTGCAAGGCCTGGCGGGACGAATTTGGCCTGCAGGCCTTGTGTTTGACACATGTGGTTTAAAATCTTGCTTGGCGTTGACTTGTATTGACATAACCTTCAAACACGTGGTATCTACAGAACGTGTGAAGTGCAATTAACAAGTTTTGCTTGAAAAAGTTTGTGTTTGGTTTGGTTTTTGTTGCAAAACTAGGGCTAAGAAAATGGCGGATGAAGAGCATATTCGGCACTGCATGCTTTACAAGTTCCAATTAGGAAGAAAAGCAAGTGAGGCTGCAAAAAACATCTGTAGTGCTCTTGGTCAAGATGCAGTTAGCGCCAGAAAATGCCAGCGTTGGTTTGAGAAATTTCGAGAGGGAAATTTTTCGTTAGATGACAAAAGTGGACGAGGCTGTGTGTCCAATTTTGATCAAGAAGCTCTTCAAGCTCTTTTGGTGCAAAATCCTCAAATTACCCAACAAGAGCTTGCGACAACTTTAAATTGTTCACAAAAAACAATTTCCAATCAATTGCGTGCACTTGGCAAAGTCCAAAAGTTTGGAAAATGGGTTCCTCATGAGTTGACCGACAACAACCGTAATCAAAGAGTCACAATTTGCAGTTCGCTCCTCTCTCATCAAAACCATTTGCCGTCTTTAGAGCAAATTGTTACCGGAGATGAAAACTGGGTGCTGTATGTTAATTTGAAAAGGCGGCCTCAATGGTTGGACAAAAATGAGGCTCCGCAGCCCACGCCAAAACCTGACTTGCATGCGGGAAAAAAGTGATGTTGTGTGTTTGGTGGAATTTTAAAGGAATTCTTCATTATGAACTTTTACCATCTAACCAAACCATTATAAGTGCAGTGTATAGTGCCCAATTGGAAAGGTTAGTCCAAGCTTTAAGAGAAAAAGAACCCGCGCTGATTAATCGGAAGGGCGTAATTCTTCACCACGATAACGCACGACCGCATACTGCAAGAATCACTGCTGAAAAACTGCGCCAGTTGGAATGGGAAGTTCTCCCTCAACCTGCATATTCTCCTGATATTGCCCCTTCCGATTACCATTTGTTTCGTTCTTTGCAAAACTTTCTTCTTGGAAAAAAATTTAATAATGAAGAATGCCTCAAAAATGCATTGACCGAATTTTTTGCATCAAAATCACAAGAATTTTACAACAGAGGGATTAAAATGCTTCCTGAGCGTTGGGCACAAGTAGTAGAAAACAACGGCAACTATATTGTTGATTAAATTTTGTTGTATTGTTTAAATAATTTCGATTTAAAAAAGTATATTAGAAAACGACATTAATTATTACTAGACCTAACAGCATTAGGTTTACTATACATCAACCTAATCAGGTAGTTTCTGCTGAAAATCATAATGCTCAATGACTACAGGTCTAAAAAAATAACAGTACTAAAAAAATAAATAATATACAGAACCAAGACAATCTATACTTTCCACTGGCCCAAGTTCTTTTTTTCACTTAAAAAGAGAAATAAAGGTAGAGCTTCCAGTTTTGCCTAAGTTAGCAAACAAATCTGAAAAGCAAACAAATGTAATTTTGGAATATTGGTCATAAATAATCTTTTTACAGGCATTTTTCATTCCTGTAATGTCATTTTAAAAGTTAACACTAAAAATATAATGAAGAGCCACATAACTATGTTTGTAATTGTGGGACAACATTATATCATTAATAAATGTATCAATTCTTACAGCAGGCTTGAATATAGATTAAAATGCAAACTTCTATGACTTTGCATATAACTGCAAACATACAGCATTTTTGTGCTGTTAGAAACTCCAGCGGGACCCACACTTTTTACTTAAGAGTTTTACAGCATGAGCTCCAACAGGTTCTCATAGTGTTATCTGAGAAAAATCCCCTCCTCCTTCCAGCATGGGAATGAACAAAACAAACATTTTTAAATACAAGAGCATTCTGTTATTAACAAGATCTGCCCTCAGGAGAAACTAACCAGTCTAAATTGCTAGAGACTTATCAACACCTAACTAACCTGGTGGAGAGGAATTATCCAATTCCAACCTACTCCAGCCATCCTAACTCACCTGGAGGGAGGGACAGGAAAGGACTGAGAAACCATTGTGAAATTCACAGACTCACTACAAGAATAAAACCTAGTAATAGGTGTACAACACTGACCCTCCACTCATAGTTTACCACCAAAAATGAATCTGGACACAGACCTTATACTCTTCAAAAAAATTATCTCAAAATAGGATCTTAGACCTAAATGTCAAACACAAGACTTTAAAACCCCTACAAGATAACATGGGAGAAAATTTAAATGATCTTGTTGACCTTTTAGATACTACACCAAAGATACCATCCATGAAAAAAAATCATTGATAAGCTGGACTTCATTCATATTTAAAACTTCTGTTCTGCAAAACATAGTACCAAGAGAATGAGACCATAGACTTTGCAAAAGACACATCCAAAATATACAAAGAACTCTTAACATTCAACAATGAGAAAGCAAACCAAAAATTAAAAAATTGGCCACAGACCTTAACAGACAACTCAACGAAGATGAAATACAAATGTCAAATAAGCATATGAAAAGATGTTCTAAATCATATGTAATTGAGAAAATGCGAATTAAAACAAGGAGATACTGCTACAAACCTATTAGTATAGTCAAAATCCAGAACTAACACCACCAAATGCTGCTGATAATGTAGAGCAATAGGAACTCTTGTTCATTGCTCATGGAATGCAAAATGGTATGGCTACTTTAGAAGACAATTTGGCAGTTTTTTATAAAACTAAACATACTTTTACTATCTGATCTAGTAATAACACTACTTGAAATTTACCCTAAAGAGTTGAAGACTTATATCCACACAAACACTTTTACATAAATGTTTATATTTACATTTTTCAAATATAAAAACTTGGAAATAACTCACATGTCCTTCAGCAGGTGAATAGACAAATAAATTGTGGTACATTCAAACAACTGAATTTTTTTTTTTAACACTAAAAAGAAATGAGCTATCGTCATGAAAAAACCCAGGTTTTTAAGTGCATATTACTATGTCAAAGAAGCCAATTTGAAAAGGCTAAACACTATTATGATTTCAACTATATGACTTTGTAAAAAAGACAAAATTATGAAGACAGTAAAACAATCAGTGGTAACTAGGTACGAGTTAAGGAAGAGTGAATAGGTGGAACAGTACAGGTTTTTTAAGGCAATGAAATTATACTGTATGATACTACAATGATGGATACCTGTAGTATCATTTTTCAAAACCCACAGAATATATACCAAGAGTGAACCCTAATGTAAATGATAGGCTTTGAATGAGTATCACTTGCCAATGTAGTTTCATCAATTGTAACAAATGCACTGCTCTGGTGGGGAATGATAATAATGGGAAAGGCAATGACAAGTGGGAATAAGGATATATGGGAAATCTCTGCAGCTTCTGCTCAACAGTGCTGTGAACCCAAAACTGTCTAAAAAATAAAGCCCATTAAAAATTAATATATTAAGAAATGAATCTATCTGTGGACACACTTAATTTTTAATGCTGACTTACATTTTAACATTTTACCAGTCTGCTATTTAAGCAAAACTATAACATGCACTATTTCTGCAGTAAAAAAATTAGCAAAATGCTAAAATTACCATGAAAGATGCATAGGTCAACATTTAAAACTTCCTTAATGGAACACAATTTTAACATTCAATAGTAAGTGCCCAATGGTATCTAAAAAATTATGTCAATCAACTGCTCTCTTTGCATATGAAATGAATATGGAAACAAAAAAGTAATTGCAGCAAATAGACTGATACATCATTATAATATCAATGGGGTTGAAATAGGCTTCTAGTTACCTCTTCCACTATTATTTTGAATAAGATTTTTAAATTTTTTATAAACAAATTAAGAGTGGTTGAAAAACCTTATTATTTACAGTTTTGGAGTTAGGACTAAATGGATCAAAATGAAATATACTGATTTCTGGCAATTCTTTAGAATGGCTTTTGGTATACAAATATGCTTTTAAGTAAACTACTTGCTCAATCTATTATGAAATACAGTAATAAACAACAGTGGTCTGGTTTAAAGATACAAGAAGGAACATTCTCACATGTCAAGTAAAAATCTTTTACCCAAGTGTCCACTCTCAGATGCTTAATGGCTAAGATCTTTTCTCAAGAATAATAAAGTGAATTTTAAAAGAAAAATACAACACTTTAAAAAAATAAGAGTTTAAAGACTGAATAAATGAAAAAATCTGTTCCAACATTTTTTCTCCTTTTCAAAAGACAAAAAGGAAAAATATACAAAAGGAAAGCAATTTAGCAGAAGTACTGCAATAGCTGATGCCACTAGATTTATAGTCACCTTTGGCAGGGTACTGCTGTGAAAAAGCAGAGGTACTGCTATTACAAAAAAAGACTATGTACTTTCAAGAAAGGATAGAATAAATCACTCTTCAACAGACAACCTCACCAGGAAAAACATCAAAGTTCTAGATAGCATTTGCTGAAAGAAACACGTGAACAGAAAGTACTATAAAACATATTTTAAGCATATCTTAATTTTCAAGTGAAGATTATCATAAAAACAAAAATATCAGCTTTTCTTTTTTTCTTTTTTTTTAAATATATTTTATTGATTTTTAATAGAGAGGAAGGGAGAGGGATAGAGAGTTAGAAACGTCGATGA